ATCATCTATTAGTTGCCGATGCTTTTATACTTCCGAATCATTTTATTCAATGAACCAAAAGTAATTCAAAATTTTTGTCTTGAATAAAAGTTATAGGGTTAGAAACAAACATATTTTAGGTCTAGGTTTACTTTAATTTTGTAAGTATATCTATGCCATGCTTATATGAAAAGAAAACAAAAATAGTTAAGTATATGATTCCATAGTACATATTTATATGAGCTTGTAATCATAATTAATGAAGAACATTGAAATCAAACTCATTAAAGAAAGTGGAATAGGGTAAATACCTCCCTTGGTTTTGCATTCTTCTTGACAACACACTTGTTATATTACCCACTACATATATTAGTTTTTTTTTTAACTAAAAGAATGAAGATTAGTCCCTATCCAATTCGATCTATTCGTTAACTTTCCTGCAATTAGTTCGGATTTGTCCTTGCGATCCAAGAAGCACGTCGAGCTTTCCCAACTTAACCATTGCAGCTCCGAAATCAGAGAAAAACAAAGCAGAGTTGTTACTATATGTCTTCACCAGCTCGTCTGTGGTAGCATTATGGTAAAGCACTTGATCTGTCCTAAGAACACCCTTCAAGTGCAATAGATCTTTGAAGAACTCGTTGTCGAAGACGTCGGCCGTGTTATCAAGAGCCGCCAAAGGATCAATCGGACCTCTAAATTTGCAAATCGATTGCAGAGACTGTCGGAAAACGGGATCTATGTATGTGTCGTTGTATATGTGGACTCTATAAGTTACACATGCTGCACTCCCAATGGTGTGACCTCCTAAATGAATGACAAAGAGAATTACAAGCATTGATTTTACTAGAATGATTTTCTTAACTGACTGACTTTTAACGCACCTGATAGAATCACTAGTTCGGAGGCATTGAAACCCTTTCTTGCAAAGAGTGCGGTGAGAGTCTCGAGATCATGGGAGAATACAGGGAGGTCTTTCTCGGCTGCTTCTTTACTTGCATTCAAAGAATCCCTTCTTCCTAGCTCCACAGCCCAAGAAGGACCGCCCAACTGTGAAAATATTTATGTATGTAGTCATCGGAAGACATAAAGCATGCACACAAATGGAAGAAAATTCGTCGAAACCATCTGAAGTTTCTAAATTATTGGCATAAATACATACGGCGACAACAGAATCACGAGCTGCAACGGTTAAAATGTCAGCACAGGAGACAACTCCAGGACAAGCATGTTCGAGCTCCGCTTTTATGTCGTCAACCACTTCGAATCCCCTCAAAGAATTCTGATTCTGAAGCGCATCTTTCTCTCCCGTTATGTTGGATGTTTGATCCAGTAAGACAGAACCGTCACAACCCTGTTAAAAATTTCAAGAACCATAATCTTCTCATATAAAAAAAAAAAAAAAACCCTTTTAATTTTAGCAAACAAGAATGCAAGTGCTGAGTTTAAGAAGAATGAATATTTACATTAACGAAGCAATCATGGAATTGAAGTCGGAGCAAAGAAGCTCCCATGCGGAGTTCTTTCTGGACTGCCTTAACAACTGTGTCATTGATAATGGAGAGAGCTTTGGGGCATGAAGTTGCGTAAAAATCAGAAGATAATTGAGCGACAGCGACACCGAAAATACACGAGAACACGATACCTACGATACCGGAGAAAGATGCCATGCTCGTCCTCCGAATACGATTAGACGAAACACAAAACTTTTCTCGGTATGCTTGTTTCCACATTTCAAAGAAGTATTTATACAAAGTGTTGGAACCATTAGTTGTACATGTCAAAAGAAAAATATTTGTTGCCTATGCTTCACACTTGAGTTGTCTTATGAACAACTTTTTGCTATTAAAAAAATATATATCTAACTAAAACGAAACACACACACGACATATTTCCCGTTTAATTTATTTGCTTATAGAACGTTTTCGAGATTGTTATATTTTGCAACCTGGCTTAGACATAATTTTAATTTTTTTATTTTATATTTTTACTATTTTTATTCTATTAAAAAAAATTTTACGAAAAAATGATCAATTATCGATTCAGTCTTATCGTTAATTAAATAACAAAAAGTTAAATTTAACGGAGTCTGCCGTTGTTAGTTATAAAAGAAATTTTTTTCTCTTTAAAAATTAATACAAATACAGCATTGCATTTCTATTAATAACTTGTCCAAAATTTTCTCGATCGTTAAAATTTTAAAAGTGAAATTTTTATAAGCTATTAACGAAAATTTCATAAAAGTTAACGTGTACCTATTATAGAAATTAATTTTTTAAAAATTATTTGTTATATTGGCAACATGTTGCGTCCAAATATAATACTCTAATATACAACATCTACATTATCACATCAAATTATCGGAGCAACAATTGATTCGGGATAAACTTGACACAGACATTTGTCACGATCATATGTTCACTTTTACTAGAGGATCTCACAACGGTGGAATATTTTTCGGATTTTCAAAATAATAATATATCTAAGATACGTAACGTACATATTGGTTCTCATAATATCATTTGACAATATTTCAAAATCTTAAAAATATATATATATAAAGTAAGAGAGGAAGGTGCAAAGCAAATGCTCAAAGACATCGTATCCTTAAGATACCGCGATAACTTCTTTAAATTAAAAAAAGAAAAGATCAAGAGGTAAAACATATATATATATATCAACAGAACTTGTTTGTATGATAAGAAATATTAGGTGTTCTCAAAGTTAAATATCTTAATACACCCGTCATTGGAATATATAGCTCCAAAATCTTCAAATCGGTTTCCTAAATTTTTCATAAGTGAAGGTGTAACTATCACGAGAGTGAAGCATGGTATACATTTATCCGCGTTTATTCTACTTGGAAAGTGACTAATATATTTCTTTTGATCCAATGCAAGAGCTTCGTTTTTACAAAAGTTGACTACAATCCTATAATAGAATTTGATAAGTCGGTTACGTGTAGATTCTTTCAAGTTTTTACGGAATCTAGACAAGTTTTATTTTGTGAATCTCATGTTTCGTTAGTAGGACTGCATTTTTTCTTTTAGTTTCTTTTCTTTTCCTTCACTCGCAAGAATGGATGTAAGTTATTTTTTTTACTCGAGTCTTATCCGAGACACTATTTTTATTGCCAATGTCAATAGCTCAGAATTTTTTAAGATGATTGACTATATGGTAACAAGAAAGCCGAGAGAAGTCCTACGATTCGGATCAAATTTTTCTAAATAAAATTCCGATAAGCAATTTTTAAGACAAACAAGATTCTCTTAGAAAGATTAGCTTATGATAATTTGTTTAACAACGTTACTTATATTATTATATATATTAGGTATTGAATATACTATTTTTATAATGATGTAAAATAATTTTACGCAAATATATAAAATATAAAAAATCTCTAATAACAATATAAAGTATGCGAAAATTTTCAATCAACTAAAAATATTAATAACATCTATAATTATTATTTATATTATTATATTAATTTTATTTTAATATATTTTAAATAAATAATAATTATTATATATATATATATATATTATTAACTATCACGCAATTGCTTTTGAATCATATCTCCGTTTGGTCTCGTAGCCTTCTTCATGATAAAACCCTCGACAGAAATCCATCTTGAGCGAGACAAAAATTGAGTGAGACGAGAAGAATACAGTGATTCAGAAAACATGGAAGAGCTGAGCATAGAAGAACTAGCTTCGAATTTATCTACTTACAAAGATCAGCTCCAGCAGGTACTACTTTCTTCTTGTTTCTATCCCCTCTTTTCTAATTCAGTTGGATAATGAATATATATCGCAATTTTTTACTCTTATCTGTGTTTTTGAAGTAGGTTTGTTTTTTTTTCCCTCCTGAATTCAATTAGGGATTCGAAATTGAGAGAGAAGGGTTATGAAAAATGTCTATTCGAGTTGGATTAGTGTGTTAAGGCTATCGTCTGATTAATAATTTAGGTTTTTGTGGTTATTATCAGGTTTGGTTTCTGAAAAATGAATGAAACCGAAAAGTATAAGGGAACCGTAGGCTCGATTGAAACGCGATCCAAATTCTTAAATTAGATTGGGATTTTCTAGGGTAAAATAAGTTGTTACTTTACACAATTCCTTTTGTATTGCTCTTTTTAGTGTGATCAGTTCTCCCTTAACAGTGAACTGGGTGGAATATTTGGCTGGTAACATGTACATCGGAAGCACAACTATACTGTGTAGTGTTATCCTTTTGCTGCTTTTTTCTTCAAAACAACTTTTACTCGGTTGGAGAATTTGTTACCGTGAGTATTTCTTCAAAAAAAGAAACTTCGGTCTGTTGGTTTCTCTTCAATGAAGTAACTGTTGCTGACTACTGTTTTTGGTTCTATAGTCTTGTATTCTTGTAAAAACGATCTCCGTACTGTTTGCAGTTCAATTATTTACATAATTTGGATATTGTCAAATAAAAATTCAAGTTTCTTGTGGCTTCCGCTTAACAAGGAAATAATGTTTAATTTGCAATCTTGTGTCGCAAATTGTCCTCTCATGATCTACCTACCATGCTATTATCCAAATATGTTTCTTGTTTAATCCCTTGTATTCTCTGTGTGTCACTAGGTCAGGCAGCTTTTGGTTGATGATCCTGGGAACTCCGAATATGGTGACATGGAAAAGGAGCTTGAGGAGGTGATCCTTGCACATTATTTGTTCATTTTTATATGCATTTTCGTTAATTCACCTTTATTTTGTCATTTATAAATGCAAAATGAGTGCTAAGAAAAGTTAGGTCAACCTCTCCTTTAGCTCTGTGAATTTCAGGTGCTGTTATTTGGATGTCTAGGTTTTCTATGTAATATCTTTCATTTCTCTTCCTTCCCTCTTTTGAAGGAGTCAGCATGTTGCTCAAACTAGCAACATCAGTTAACTGCTAATGGATTTCCAGGAGGTTTGTTTTCATTTCAGGGTTAAAAAGGTGAGGATGGCATTTATGTTGAATATAACTCCAGAAATGGGAACTTTACGAAGTGCTATCACAAAAAAAAAAAAAAAAAAAGAAAAATTAATTGGAGTGTATGTGAAAAATACGGAGCTTCATCATGATGCACATCACTTTTATCTTGGTTCCTGTGCAGGTGTGCTATGTGTCGTGATGCCCAGCCTGCTCTCACTTCATTTCAGATGTTCAATCACTGAGATTCTAAGTTTCGAATTACAATATTTTGACATCCATGATGTTTAATTGCATATATTCTTTTTTTAAACTTCTGCTTAATTGTGGGATGCAGGTAATTGCTCTGACGGAGGAACTTTCTTGCAACTGCGAAGCAAAATGAGAGCTTTGGATCAGATGTTGGAATTAGTGCCACTCCATCTTCTAGTCTGCCCCAATCTAAAGGGAATGAAATGGTTAGTTTTTATAACTCGCATTCCCACTGCAGATACTCATATTATCATCAGGCATTCAGCAGGGAATTCATGGCATTTGAATTAATAGATATAATATGCAGCCATATATCTCTCTTACTGAGCTGCAATTTGGTGACTCATTGTTGCAACCATAAAAATTTCACATTTATGCACATTGCCATAGGATAGTCCTTTTAAAAAAAAAAGCAAAATTCTCCAGTTATTTTCTGCATGAAATATAATATTGTAAATAATTATGGAAAACTTGTCTAGGTTCTGTATGGCTTTTTTCTGGTTATAACATCTGAGTTGTTTTTCTCTTTTATTCATGTCTTCACATCATATCTTTTTCTCTTTTCTATCTAGGAATCAGGAAGTATCTCTGATCATCAGGAGCAGTTTCCTGTTGGCACTAAAATTAAGGCTGTCTGGAGTGAAGACGGGGAGTGGTATGTGGAACTATCATATCTATATTTGCATGTATTGTATTTTTTTCTAATTTGTTTTACCTTTTTCCTTTTCTTCTTTTAGTTTTTGATTAGTTGAATGTTCAGGTATGACGCAACCATTGAAGCTTTGACTCCAAATGGCTATTATGTTTGCTATGATGGATGGGAAAATAGGGAAGAGGTACGAATCATTGTTGTCTCACACCTGAACTAAAAAAATTCTTATGTGGATAGGGGTTGGGATGAAAATGATGTTTTAGTAGTTCTATCATATTTGCTTGCCCGGATTCGTTAAATTAAATAAATCGGCATTCTATGGCCATATTTAAAATAATATAACACGGAGCTATAGAAACTGTTGAGTTGTTTTTCTTAATTTCATCAAGAGGCCTACAACAGTGTCTTTTTACTTTTCTATCTCTGATTAATTTATATTTTTCTTGTTTAATGATCACGGAATCTTTCAGCTGCTTGTATTATTTGTTTGTGCCTCTTCCATTACAAAATTTAATTATTTATTTCTTCCCTTGTTTTTTTGTCTTGCATCACTATATGTATCCTTTTACATTTGAAAATTGAATATATGGTGACTACAGTTCTTAATCCCAGGTGGATCCTGATAATGTAAGGCCAATTGAATATAACGCTTTATTGGAAGCTGAGAAGGTTGCTGAAGCAACAAAACAAGCTATTAAACGGAAGATTGCTCAAGCTGCATCTGTTGATTTCCAATCACGAAGTCTACCTGCAAAGCTTCGTATTGATCCTAATGACCCAGAGGATGTGGTAAGTATTTTTTTTCCTTTTGCATTCACTTTACAATATTTAAGATACATTCTTAAATATTTTTTGATTCTCTAATTTGATGTTCGACAACACAATCAAAGTCACCAACCTTACCGTTGTTAGCCACTTGGACTTTGGTTGCCAGAAGTACCATTTGATACGTAAGCAAGGGATTTGCCATCTATTGGCCTGCTTTTGGGGTTTAAATTCGTTTTTTTCTCACTGTTGATTAGTTTCCATGGTGCTGTAAAGTTATTTACAACCTAATTCCTTCATCAAAACACTAAATTTGATTTAGATGATGTTAACAGTTTCTTTATGATTCTGTTATTCCTGGATATGTGATTATTTTTTATGTGTTAAACACAATGTCCACAGAAAGCTACTAAGCGTAAGAAGATACATGCTTTCAAGTCAAAGGTTCGGCTTGAACAACTAGAAGTGACTCAAAATAAGAGACAGAATGCCTGGCAACAGTTCCAGACAACAAAAGGAAGGTCTAAGAAGGTAACTGGCCATTCTTGCATGAAATATCTGAACAACTGGTCTGTCTTAACAATTGAAACATACACTTGGATTAAATTGTCATGTGTGCTATGAATGAACCTGCGGGAGATCTTTCTTTTTCCCTTTTGGGGGGGGGGGGATGGCAAGAACGAAGTGCTGGTGTCAGGAGTTACAGAGTGCACATTCCAAGGTGAAGAGCTCCA